CATTATACTATACGCACAATGATGCAGGTGGAATATAAAAGTGAGGAGAGACATCGGCTTTAGACCAAAGTTTGATGTAGAGATAGGGTATGGTTTTCCCCAACTAGCTAGTGGAACAAACGTCATTCCCTCAAAAAGACTGTTTCTCCGGTGACCAAAATTTTCTTTGAATAAGAGCATTATTATAGAGGCTGCCTTTGTATCGCGATTCCCCAACAAAACTGAAAACACTCCCATTTCTAGGTAATAAGACATTCAACTCAACGGAACGTTTGCAAAACTCTGTTTTTTGTATTGGTATACACGATGAACACTTTCAACTAATGCTTACCTATTTTCAGATTACTAGTAACTAGTGCTAGAAACAGCACTCAGAGTGAGGACTGATTAGTCGTTCCTTTTCTGCTCGTTACCCATGATGTTTTGAAAGCATGGCAAATTGTGACGCAACCTATAAAGTTCCTGTGAACATCCCTTTCTCCTGGTCTCGCCACAACGGTATGTTTCGAGTTCTGGGGACCGTCCTTATCTATAAGTTTGCGTACTTCATTAGCATTGTCAAAATGGTAGAAATATTAGGGCATTCCAGGGGGTACTGCTTTCCGCCACAGCCTAAGATGAAACCTCCGGCTCACATGTATCGCTCCTGACTACTTCTACATATCCGTCTTTTGTTAAGTTTCCGCGCTAGATTAAAAGAAAAAATAAACGCAACACTATAAGCTGCATCTAGATTGAGAAGAACACTCAAGGAGGTTGTTTTTCTACTTTTCTAGAAGGAATCCTGCAGTATTACATTATTTAATGGAAATAGAGGGAACATAGACGGCTTATTTTTTCATCAGCAGATATGCCATTGACAAAGGAATATGTAGCCAAATGCTTCAGGATATAGGATATTTACCAAAGAACATATGGTCATGTGCAGAGTGCTTCTGCTAACTGAACAAAAGCACATAGCGTCATTAGACCGACTGGTACTTCTTTATTTGTCGAAGCACTGATTATGGTCATTAACATCAGATAGTTTCAAAGATGGGAACCACCAAGCTATTCCTATTTGCGGATTAGTGGACACCTATTGCAAGACTACTATTTATTTAGGGTTCATTAATAAAAACATATGCACTGCTTACCCAACCACCTCACTGCTGAGTTCACGAGCTTACGCTACCGGACTGTGTATCGAAGGGGAACATAACAACAATATGATAGGCATATTGGCAACTTAGAGTCCTCATTTCTTCGCGGCAAAGTTAATGATAAAAAATATCAAAAAGAAGGAATGACAGGAAGCCGAATGCCAAAATACTATGTGCCCAGCCATAGCAACTCATGTCAACCAAGGGCAAGGTTTTAGCACCGCATGACTCATCGTCAGATGATAGGCAGTTGCACCAAAAAATATCATACATATGAGGCTGACTGGCCATATGAACGAGTAAGAAACCGAAACGAATCAGACATCATCGAATTTTCCGTGATGTATTGCAAATTGGTAGCTTGTATGAGCTTGGGTCATCACAGGGCTACCAGGCTTCTATCACCTAGTAAGCGATGTTGTTCACACTCATGAACCAGACCCAATGTGCATACTCAGACGCTGGAGCGCATGCCAAAAAATCAGTTATTTACTTAAACTTCGCCTCCAAAGTCAACTAAAAACCAGCTTCTTATCCAACTAAGGCAAACCATGTCTTGATCACTTCTGCTCAAATTACATCCCAACTCTAAGTACTTTTATATTTCATGGAGAGAAGACGCAACCGTAAACCTCCAGACCTTTGCTTGTCTCACTATTATGCCACGGTTTTCATCAGACAGAATGCTGAGGCAGACGGTTTAAATCAACTTTTGTGGGTGTATTTGGGAGCATTTATTCTGTCGGCGATTGAAGAGCGCGGAGTAGAGTACATAGTATGAGGAAGGTGAAGTGAATTGAAATGTTGGATAGGGGGTGAAAGAAGCAGGCTGACGGCTTTTGCACATGCCATGAGAAAGACTCAACTAAAAACGTCTATTTGACTCCGTCTGCTTGCATAACCTCTAGGCTTAAATACGATATCGGTTAAAACCTGGTGATTTAGTTGCCTCAGAACCTCAGTTGATGTAGACGAACCCCTAGCTGGACAAGTAGAAAGCGAGTTTTCATATATGCAGCAGAAACTTCCGTCGAGGAATATGTTTAGCACCCGAAACAGCGTTGGTAAGGCCATGTGTTGCGCATAGCAGAAGCTGAGTGGCGGCCAACCTTTGACCTGAAAAAGGGGTATGGAATAGATTATGGAAAGTCTGGGGACTATCGGTGTGATGCGCTTTCTAGAATGAAGACCTCCGGAATGCCACTGCGCCTGGTTGGAGACGCTACAAGACATCACTGCTAATTAATGTCAGTGGTGCTCTTGTTGCAGTTCTTATCCAGATTGCCCGAATGGGTGCTTGAAGGTTTCGACACCATGAATGCTTGTGATAGGCAAAGATTAAACGACTTTCCGGTCCACTTTAATTCTTTTCTTCAAAATAAGTTTTTCAAATAAATCATGGACGTTAGATGATCCTACCCAGAGTGCTTGGATAGATTTTTCGTTGATTATCTGATGTGTTTCTTTTCAACAAATGGTAAAGTAACAAAACACAGAAGATCAGGGCAGAATTTTGCACCAGGAGACAGTAGAGCGGCAAAACTATAAGACTTTGCATTCAAGGTGCTAATTACTTTGTTGGATTTTGCTCATGTAAGCTCTCTTGATTGAATCATTGATATATTGAGCTGGAGTTACCTCAAATTTTGTAATTGAAACTTCCGATTAATAATATATGTTGCCTGAGTGGTGATGTTCTTCAGAAGCGGGAAAAAAGAAGCACGTTGTTGACGGCATACTGTGGGCATATAATGAAAATTCGAACTTAATTAGTTACCCTAATTTACCTCTCTGTGAGGATCTCCTCCAAGGATACAAGTCGGCCTGAATGATACAATAACGTGTCGAGGCCTAGAAGTGGCCACCAAGAGTAAAAATTCGTTCAGCTGCAACATATTTTCGGTGTCCAAATTAAATTATGCATATGTGGATATCCACCTCCTGTGTTCTCTGTGGGTGACATGGCAGCTAGGGTGCAGGAATGTGCTACGGCTTGACAATTACTATAACGGTAATTAAGCCAACTCATTCCACATGTAGTTTTCAGGCAATTCAGCACTCTAGTTTTGCACCCTTAGTGCACAGTCAAGGCATTTAATTTTACAGTATTATTTTGTGTTCGCTTGAGGTATCACAGAAAAAACTTCACACATTATGCACCATAAAGACGCAGTTCAAAAAAATTCATGGTAGTCCAGAATCAGCTGCCACTTTTGAAGATTGCAACTCAATGCCCGTGTAACGCAACCACAAATGTGGCAATCTGTTGATGCAAATTCATACATCTGCTTATAGATCACCGTAATATATGTAACGGACACTGAAACATATGTAAGAGAATCGCACCACTGCGTGGTAACTCGTCTTCTCATCCGTGTTTAATAGTTTGCTGGTGTGTAGGCCAACAATGCTTCAGCCATCAACATTCAATATCGACGCTCTACTAGGTTTTTTCCTTTTTAAAAGCTCACCGCCATCTCTGAAGGCAACTTTATCGGACTCTGGAACCCATCAAACAGTAACAATGGTAATAATGCAAACATGGTAATGGACATAACGGCGACATTAAAAAGCGCTTATTTCTTCTTCAAATCGAAACTGGTCCCGTCTAGTATCCCCTATCGGACTGTACGGCTATACAGAACAAGAATAACCAGAGTCCACTGCACATGCTTTCACCTGAAGCCGTTTTGGCTATGGTGCCGTCCTCAATTACTATCTTCGAAAAAGCAAGTTTCTGAGTGGGTGGCTTTTATTCAGAAGCACCTGAAGAATCATATCAAGCTTGAGTTCAGTCAATGGACTCGACCTCGGATAAATGTAGACATGTCTACTGGATAAGTTGAGTTGACAGAGCCTTGTCGTGCGAGGAAAAAAGGCATAACAACGGTTATCGAGTTAACGCTTGCTTAAATGTGCGTAGCCCTATTATGGCAGTCTCGGTGTACTTAACAACTAATAACAATTGGTTGACATGCTCATAAACTTTGATTCCGAAGACAAGTCGTATGTGGTTGTATGTGACCTAATAGTCCGGAAGTAGTAAGGTATCAATGTTTCGCGTGTTACTGGTACCACTACCTATATTATCGGCAATGTGAAACCTTTATAGGTCGGTGGCCGAGCTCATGGAGACTGGAGAGGATTATACTCACTGGAATACGCCCATTACTGAGACAGACGAAATTCTTTGATTTCGCAAAACAGGCCGGCGTTTTCCGAGCTTTTAAGACTTTTAAAAATAGAATCTGTATTTTCAGTGAACAAAAACAAATTGATATATGGCCACCGATCATCAGCTCTTTAGAGAGCAGGTGTCATAAAAAATATCCCTGGAGATGTGCTATGTACAATTAGTTCTTCCCTTATCTTTTGGCGATCACAAAATCTGGTAATGAACTTGGCCTGGAGATCTTCGAGATCAGATCCTGAGGCTGACTGACATCTGCATTCTCCGTCACACATGCCGGAAAAACAGATATTCCCGGAACAGTATATGAATACAAAACATGCTCTTGTAGGTTGTGGTTTGTGTTTAAAAGGACAAATGGGTCAAGATTTGTTCCACGAATGTGAAGGTCACATGGTGGCGATTTGCTGTTAGCCTTTAATGAGGCTGCAATCTTTTCTGGTCCACTTGCATTTTGGCCAGCGTTGGTGATACTGAAGCTTGGTTTGCTTCGATATATTACGGGAGCATTCGAATGCTTAGATGGAACTAAGTTAAGTTTTGCGTTGTTTATTCCTGGTAGTGTTGTTTCGCACACAGTGGAAGTAAGGCGGGTAGCTTGTGCACAAAGTGGAGCGGGTTGGGGCAACGAACCAGTGTTTATAAGTGTCTGAAGCTCAATATCTGCATAAAACGCAGCACACCGTTCACGCTCCTCGGGAGTTACCGGAATTCCATCAATAACCTGTACGCGCAGACATCCGTTAATAAGAATGAGTCTGTGAATCTGTCTCGATGTTAGCGGGTTATCGATGAGTGATATCTCAATTAGGTTCTTCTGGATTGTTGAAAATCTTTCTAGATCGTTAAGATCATACAGCTTATTTCCACTCAAATAGACTCGTTTTAAATTTTCCAAGCTCTTGAGATTATATAGTTCTCGAAGCCTGTTGCTCTCCAGGTGTAATTCTTGTAGTGACCACCTGAACTGCAATGAAATTTCAGGTATTTCCTTTATTTTGTTTCCATCGAGGACTAAGTCTCTCAGCACTGGAAGACTTTCCAAACCAGAGAAACTTGAAATTTCATTGTACTGGAGGAATAATGATCGTATTGCAGGCATTCTGTGGAAATGTAACGGTAATAAAGTGCTGATGTGGTTTTTTGCCAGGTGCAAGACCTTCAGCTTGGGGAATATGGCCTGTTTTGAAGTGTACAGAGATACATAGCGAGTATCCGCTAGATCTTTTAGTTTTCTACGCGAGGATGAAGCAATTAACTGAATGTTTGCGGGAAACAACGTTTCAATGTTATTCTCATTAAGACAAAGAGTACGCAATTGTGGGAGGAAAAGTAATCCGCCGAAAGATGTCAGATTGTTTCGTTCCAAATTTACACTCTGTAGTTTTGAAAAGTATTCGGGTGACAGAACGTCTACAACCTTCAACAGATTTCCACATATTTCCAGACAAACAAGCTCCGACAGATTTTCGCCGTTAAATTTTTCCATCAGGAATTCCTCTGACAAATGACCACCAAGTAGTTCCTTTGCGCGTAATGTATCATTTGTCGATATTTCTAGTCCATCTAGGGCTTTCAGTGACTTCAAGTGAAATATCATCCGAAGACGGTAGTGATTCAACTCCTTTGTCAGCGGATTTCCAGAAAAATCAGCAATTGTCAGAAGCAGAAGGTCTTTCAATTCCAGTACAACTTTCAATTCCCTTAGATCGTTGTTTGCAATATACAATTCTTGAAGGTTAACCAACACTGCAATCCCGTCCACTTCCTTAATTCCATTAGCTCTCACAACAAGCACCTCTAAATTTGGGAAGTCACTTTTTCTAAGGCCCCTAAACGACTGTATTGAGTTATTTCCCAACAACAGCCGTTTCAGTTTCTTTAACTGCTGAAAACTTTCGAAGGATGTTAGGCTATTATCCTCTGCTGAGATTTCTTCCAGGTTAGTACAGAAATTCAGTCCTTCCAGAGTTTCCAAGTAGTTATTATCAAGACAAACATAACGCAAGCTGGTTAGTAGGTCAAAACCTTCTAGGGTTCTAAGCTTGCAGTCATTCAGACACAAGGACACAATACTTTTCAGAACTATGTTTGTTTTCACATTGAATAACTCTGTTCGCAACAGATGCAATCTTGCAGTAGGATGGATTGTCAGACTTGGAACCACTTCTTCGGCTATAGTGCTTCTTGTGTTGAAGAATTTGCAAAACCTATTCCGCCGTTGATGAAAAATACTTTCCGCACTTTCTCTGTCGTTAGCTGTGACCAGGTATCCGTCGATTGTCTCTATGCTTGGGAGGTAGGCAGCGACAAAAAGACGAACCTCTGTCGGGACTTTCCAGGGGTTAAATTGTAAATTAAGGTCTTGCAGTTTGGTGCATGAGTTACTTATCGTAATGACATCCTGGAATAAGTTTGTTAGTATGTTGTAATTCACATTCAGTACTTTTAATCTTGGAAGACTGTTTAGGTTAGTAAGTGTGGGAAGCAGATTATGACTTAAGTCAAGCGACTGTAATGGAAGATTTGCAAGCGTAGGCAACACTCGCAAGCGACAGTGATTGATAAAAAGTACTGTTAGAGAGGAATAGCGCTGTAAGTTCACTAAACGTGTAAGTTTCACCTCCAATAGAGACAAAGTTGTCACCTTTGCTTTCGCTTGAATTTGCTGCTCTGAATTCTTTTCAGAAAAACGTTCTAACGTGTCGCCACTGCAGGGTTTCAAAAATTTCGCAGGGATGCTTTTTAATATAGATGAATCAGCCCGCAATTCCTCGTTTGGAAGTAAATCATTTGAATCCAACTTTGTTAAACCAAAAGCTCGTTGCAGCACTGATGTATCCTGATCTCCAGGAATGTACTTAACTTCCATGACAAACGACGCTGCCAGGAAATTTTCATCATTCGGTTCGAAATTCATTATGACACTCCTGCAGTTGCAACTCTTAGCTTCCTTCTTCCGACCTTGAGCGGGCCAACGAACGTCCGTAGAATTTACCAAAGATCCCCGACACATATCTTTTTTACAGTTACTCATTAGGTTGCAAAACTCTGGTTCTTTCTTTGTTCGCACAAGAAGAAAAGTTGCGAAAAATGTAGACTGTGGACATGCGTCGTCGGGCGTTCTCACTAACAACTTTCTAAGGTTAGCTTCATCTGCAACATTCAAACTGTTCGTCAACGTAATTGGAACTTTGTTTGGATAACAATTACAGCTAATTAGCGAAGCGTACTGATGAAGTTCCTGATCTCCCTGTGGCCGGACGACAAAAAAATATCCCTCCGAAAGTCCACACTCAGTATCTTGATCATTCGAACACTCATGTGAAGATAACTTTTCTTCATCGGAAGAGTAGTCTGGTTCCTTCACAGATAGATGGCGTGACATCTTGTTTATAATTCTATATACTCTACAGATTTTTATACCAACTACGCCAACTTGAAAAAGCTCACGAGCGCAGCAACGTGTCGCCAAAATATTTCCACAGTAGGTAAACCAGTCGTCATTTGGTCCAGCTTCTTCTATTTCAACGTACCCACAACTCTCCAGTTCCAGCTGTAGTAGATACAACCGCAGTGAAATCTTCCGCTGAATTACCTGTAACTCCGTTGCAAGTTCTAACCTGCACTTCTTCAGCAAACTTTCCCAGACGAATATCCGTTGCCCAAGTTCTTTGATCCATGGAATTTGTAGGTATCTATCACACTCAGAAGTAGCTTCACTCTTGGTATTGGGACCAATTCCAGCTTGCAGACAGCGTGCAGCTTTATCGAGCACTTCAACTTGGGCGTATATCTTATCACTCAGCTTTCTGTACACAGTACGCAGACGATTTGCAGCCCGCTCCTCCAGTGCCATTCTCGACTGCACTTGCATTCTGTAATAGCTCTGTTTGATTTGCATCACAGTCATAATAGCTTCGCGTAGTTCATGACATCCAACATCCACTTGATCTAACATTTTCAGTCGAGGGAGGAAATACAACACGATTAGAGGAAAGTTTGGATTTGAGCACACAGGGTTCGGCATATATCCGGGCTCATTAACCGATAAACAGACAAGTCTCGGCAGAGATGCTAATGACAATAGATCCTCCAAAACGCCAAGACGGTTGCCTGAAATGAAAAGATTCCTTAAGCACTTCATGTGGTTTATCTCCCCTTTTACGCATTCAATGGCATTTCCGGACAAATTGAGAGATTCTAGCCGGTTCAGTTCAGAAATCCCCTCTATATGATGTATTTCGTTATCGTTCAGCCACAACACCCGAAGTTTCTTTAGGTTTTCAAGGTTTTCAATCTTTTTTATAGCGTTGTCATAGAGGTAGAGTTCCTCCAAATTGAAACACTGATCCAGATTTTCAATCTTCGCAACGCGGCATTCACAAATCCATAGTATTTTCAGATTCGGGCATGATTGCAAGGTTGTAATCTTTACAAGATCTTGAGACATTATCAGTAACTCCGACAGGAACGGAAATTGTGCTAGAGTGATATAGCTGGAGAATCCAGAGAATAATATTTGCAGTTTCTTTGTTGGGTGAAGAACATGGTGAATCGCTCCATTTTCGTCCCCTATGTCTAAAGTATTTGGGATACATAACCCGCGATGGCATTCTAAAAGTGAACAATCGGGCATTTTTTCCTCTGAGTTATTCTTCTCACTGAATTCCATACGCACTACAGCAAACGCCACAGTTTTCACGTTTCCAGCTGATCAAATGGCGCGGCGATTTTCGCCCTCTTCGTCGGTGCAGTGTAAGAAAAACAGCAGAATCGATAGAGTCATGGATGGGAAACAAGTCGGGGGCTCGTAGATTGGGACCGAGCAAGAAACGCTTGGTTCAGTTTGACTCCCTCGAGTATGAAAAGCCTACACCACTAACCTGAAGGTAGCCAAAGTGACTTGAATTTTCTAGATGGATACAAGAGTTCTGCGTCCACCGGAAAGCTCGCCATATCTGCAGACAGAAACGCCATCATCCATTTCCGATACATCCTCAAAGCACCCACCATGGAAATGCTATGCCCCTTGCGCCTTTCTGTCCCAAAATGGCGAAATACGAGTTCGTATGGCCTGCGCCACGGTAAATCAACTGATGCTCACTGCGTCACGCATCCTGTTTTGGCCTCAAGTCTCATCATAAGATTCCACAGGGCGGTTGGAAGCCTATCAATGGAACTCGAGACACTACGATCCTAAGCAATGCACTTCCATATCCGCCGGCGCCCAGCCGTTTCCTGGCACAAAAGACTAGCTTCGTTGGTTGCCTCCTCGTTTCTTTCCCCAACAGTCGCACAGTAAACAGATCTGTTGTGCTGCACTCGTCGAAACTGATTACAAAGTCCCAGCTTCACCAGAAAGCCCATCATAAATCTCGTCCACACCAGTCCCTCAAGTGTCAGTTTCCTGAACTTTGCGGATCCCCCACCTCCAAAAATATCTGCCATACCCTAGCCCGAGTAATTTGTCCGCTGTTTGCCTTTGGAATTCGGCTGTGCTCCCAGGCGTATGTCTCACCAAAACACATTTTCCCTGTCAACTCATTCTGCCGCCCAACCATCTGTCCCTGGCTTACTAACATCCACTTTCGGTCCTATTTTCAGCACCCAACCCCCAATCTGCCCAACCACAACCAGGGCGGCCATCGTTAGCTTTTGTGGTTCAACGGAGGTTACGGGAAAGTAACTGGCTAATTTGTAGGCCGGTTTCTCAGTCCCCCACATCCACCCTGGCGCCTATTTTTTGACTCCCAGTGTTATTTATATCTAAAAGATTTCATGACTCCTGAAAAGCACAAAGCTCACCTCAAACATACTCGGCGCCGCCATCCTACTGGCGATGAAATTCAGTGGATAGCGTGCCGGCCTCCAGAGCTTAATTCACTCACGCAGTGGCTACTTCTGTAACTCAGCCACTCAAATGAACATCCTGCGACAGACGGGAGGCACGACGGCATTAGAAGTTCCCATGAAATCAGCTTTTACCATACCCGTACCATAGAAAGTACCTGGAACTGTTCCAGCCACAGAGGGAACAAACCCCACTACACTTCTCCTTTAATGATAAAAAGGAATCTTCCAAGATGGCCCTATAACTGTTTTATTTTCTTTTTTTACTTCTGTTAATCTGCGGCCCACTCGACAACGACTATCACTCAACTCTTTACTTGACTTCGGGACCCATTAGGAGCATAGCGAGTTCAGAATTCCGGGAATAACACGAGGTTTAACCAGGTTTTTTCTGATGCATCCGATACCGGGGAATGACTAGGACCCAACGGTCCCTGGGATGAGTTGGTTCTAACTCGCTGTTTCCTCCCCTCGGAGATAAACATATAGGTGTTCCGTTGTACTTTGAGCTTACCCTACCATTATTTCACCCAATTTTTGATCAGTTCCCACTTGCTCCTAATCCTTAACGCTACTTTGCTCTCCTGAGAATCTTCTGCACCTGAATTCCCTCCCATAGTAACACCAGTGGGTTCATCAATTTTTATTGTGCCTTCTGATTCAGAGAAACAAACTTCCATTTTTCCCTACTGAGAAATGCTCAGCTCATCATCCGCAGGCAAGCTCTTCTTAACATTGGCAGTTAACTGAGACTTTCAGGTTCACGCAAAATCGGGAACAGCTTTCAGCATTGGTTCACGTCGTCCCGCCCGATTATTGAAACACTCGCGCCCCTCCCTCCTCATTTCCATAAGTTTTGCTATCCGCAGTTTATGATTTTTTGCCAAGTGAAGGGCAGGATCCCACGGCTTTGCATTCATATGTTGTATCATAAACCACCATCCTCGAATTGTAATGTTGTGACCTTGCTTCAAGTGGATATATTCCATGCGGGCTGGCGGAAACCTGCTAAATATGTTTCAGCATCCCCAATGTCCACGGCGTTCACCATGTTCCAGTGGTGGCATGACATGCTCATTTGGGATGACACTGATTTTTATATGATTTCTCCGCTTCCACGTAGGTAGGAACCTGCAAATGATGTCATATGTTCCTCCATTTTAGCTGGATCTTTGGGGCTATACCTAACGGTTTGCCATCTGGCATTTAGGAGATAGCATTATTATTGCTGCATTTGTAAACTCTATGAAAATAGCATTCCTTATCATTCTCTCATTCATATTTTGCCCTCTTTTTGTCTACCACACCAGTGCTTTTTAAAGTTAAACATAATGGTGACAATTTCTTTTACTTACCTCGATCCTACTTATTTCGGCCCGCAGACTATCCACACCCAGGTCTACTTACAGCGGCAATCAATTACCATCAACCCTTTTTGGGATCAGTGACATTGGCCTAAGTTCAACGTCGCCCAAGAGAACATCACGAAACGTCGTATTGTTGTTACACTTGTCAAGCGTGAAAAAATATATTCATCAACAAAAGCCGCTGACACATGGGCATAACGCATTGTAGCATAGTTTATCCCCGACAGATTGCGTCGCAACAGGCTCTTGTTCCATAAAGTTATATTTAGTGCCTTAGCGCGGAAAGTTCTGCGAAGCTTTGCAGCCTATGAAAATAGATTAGATTTGGCATTATCCTGGAGTCAAGACATGCGAGCTGAGCTTAGCCGACATGAGTTTGACAAGCTGAGTTAGGCCCATCTAACCTCAAATGGTATCCTCTTCAACAGCATCGTCATAACTGATGTCCAAGTGTTTTGTTGCGATTAAACTTCGTAAAACTCAGATGTGATTTTTTGTCTAGGAGACGAAAACTAGGAGGTCTTTTCTTTTATTCTTCCCCATTGGAGCCTGTATTTTATTGTGCGGGCAAATTTTTCAGCGGCATCAAGAGCATCTGAGACAAGCTCGTTCCAACCTACTGAACCTTTCGTTCGGATTTACCCAACCTTGCTTTCCGCTACGAGTTCGGTTTGCTCATTCCACAAGCCCAGTTTCATTTACGGTGTTCCGTCGGCTTTATGCATTGGCACTATCTCCTATTCGCAACTATTTTTTACACCTGCCTTTCCTACAACGACACCCGCGAGTTTGCTTAGTCCCAGTATGAACCATAATTTTGAGATTAGACTTCCCATTTTTCTCCACCATGGATTCATTCAGCTACATCTCCATTTTTGCTTTTATGACCCTGGCCATTTACTCAACCGCCCAAGATCACTCATGGCCACCAATGATTATCAATTTCAGTTCAAGTCGACCAGCTTCATCGTTAAACCAGTCGCACATCATGCCCCATTGTTTTATTTTTCGTTTCTAAAAACTACGATGACATTTCGTGTAATAAGCGTGTTTCGTCAATTATACTTTCCTCCCCGTTATTATAGTGCCCTCCCCGTTCAGGTTTCAACGACCCGTTCGTGTCGCCATTTGGGATGTCCCTCACAAGTTGTGAAATAAACTTACTGTTATTATTATCATTCAATACCCTAAATTCCGCTATGCTCCCCTTCTTGAGCGTTTCTGCCAGCTTTATTTAAGTCTAGCAAAATAGGGTCGGAAGAAACGCGAACGCCTGTTTCTCACGAGTTACGTTCGGTGTTCCAGTCCCAGCGCCAAAGCCGGGGATAAATTAAGCACGCGATTTCAATTGTCTCATAGAACAAACATTTTATTTTGGTCTCTTAGGTGAACTGAACAGGATCCTGAAGCCAATCCCTTACCAATCTCAGTAGTGATTACTCCTTACGCAACCATTCTCAGACCTCTCTGAGTAATGTGGTATAAGTATTAACTTCCAAAATCAAACGAAATGCAAACTCGCTGCCGCATCCCAATGATTTTGCAACGAGCAGCACTTTTCACACTACTGGTGCTAGGCAGAAGGACTTTGCTGCGGGCTTATTCATTGAAAACCACCAACTTAACACTTACGGACTATTGGGCAGGGAAGCAAAACTCTCATGCGCACCCTGTTTATATAAACTGGATATCCGCCTGCTTCTCCGGTCCGTCTTCCTGAACTTTCCCGGATACCAACTGACTATCACTCACAAGTAAAAGAATGCTACAAAGCAGTTCCATAAATTCCGTAATAAATCGCACTTTTCAATTGGCGCAGGTGGGTTTAAGAAAAAATATCTCCTCACGCGCCCCATCGGTAATATCCACAGTTACATCCGAGCTATGGGACCACGAATGCAGAAACTGCAAATACAGAGACATGAAAATTTTTGTAGTGACGAATTCGGGGGATGGTGTGAGCATAGTTTGGCAAGACGATACAGCCAGGAGCCGCGAACACTTCAGTCAGGAGTAAACCTCTCGGCGGAAAACATTTGGCACAGCTTGTATCAACGGTACACTAGTTATTCCAGACCTGCAAGTGTTTTCGACGCCACTTGTTTTAAACGGTCCATGAACCTGGTTTGGAGTATTTTTGTTATTACGTATAGTGCGCTGTTCTTAACCCACCGGAAAAAACCTCAAACCGACCGGAACGTTGAGCTCCTCCATTAAATTCAGTATGGTTCAAGTCAAATGTTCTTACTACTTTTCCATGTGTACGGGCTTAATTCCTCGACTTTAGGTAGGGCTTGTGAGCCTTAGCTCTTCCAGTAGCTTCTAAGTGCTTTTTGTATCATCGTGTTGCAACAACACGCGAAATCATATGCACGAGCATCTCATGCCAGTATCTCATCTTCCGACGATGGACTTGCATGCGATTATAGCTCACCGAACGCAGACTAGGCAAATC